CATCCATCTGAATGTTTATAGCTGTGACTGTAAAGGTGGGTTCTGAGGTTATCTTAAGCTGTTGGGCTCAGGACCTCGTTGCCTTAGTGATGTTTTAAAAAATATTTTCTCCTTTCCCCCATAATGGTGTAAACCAGTCCTAGACCTCACTATATTGGTACAGGCACAGGAAAAGAACGCAAGTGAACTTATGTCAAGGTAAAGTGGCCGCCTTCATTCCTTAATGGCAGAAAGTATATGCTGTGTATTTGACAGTTTGAAACCATCCAGGCTGCTCCCAAAGGGCTGATTCACACATGCCTCAGTGGATGACTCACCATTTCATGAGTCACACCTGAATATGCAAAATATCTTCACTGAAGATGACTGCACTGAAGGTGAAGGCAGGTAACTTCTACTGCTTGGTGATATTTAATGTGGAATGGCTGTTCCAGACCTGCAACAGGAAGTATGTTCACACCAGTTGTTTTGAATTACCAATATATTCTTTTTCCTTTTTCAAACAAGCACGGGGAATGTACCTCTATTAAAATACTTTGAACTAGACTTTTGGAAGCTTCTGTTCATTTCCCTTCTTGTGTCAAATTAGTATATACAACTTCCTTGTAAATGAGGGAGAGAAGCAACTCTTAACATTTCTTGACAGTCCCCTCTTATTTACTTTGTTGTTATGTAAGTTGACCCTGCCTAGAATTTTCTTGGCAAGCTTTATTCAGAGGATGTCTGCCATTGCCTTCTTCTTAAGCTGAGGGAGTTATGACTTGCCAGTGGGTTTTCACAGCTGAGCAGAGGCTCAAATCAGATTCTCTCCGAATCCTAGCATGCCTCTACACTTCAGAATTAAAACAGTGTGATATCACTTTGCTGTGGCTCAATGCTATGAAATCTTGGGGTTGGATTTTAGTGAAGCACCGGCATTCTTTGATAGAAAAGGCTAAAGACATTGTAAAACTACAGCTTCCATGGTTCCATAGCATTGAGCCACAGCAGTTAAAGTAGTGCCAAGCTGCATTAGTTCTACAGTGTAGATACTCACTGTAGTCCAACAATCAAACCACTATGCTGGTTCTTTATTATCTCCATCTTAAATAAAGAGTATTTTAATGCAAAAGCAATTTTACACCACTTCTAAGTGAAAAGTTTATTGGCGTTAGCTGATTTCAACTGCTTTCACCAGAATTTTGAACAAAGATCACAGGACAGTATTTATATCAAATTCCAGAAAAGCAGCTGTTTTCATCTGAATCAGCAAAAACATAGTATGGTGAGGCCAATTCATTTATTATGAAATAAACTCATATGCATTTATCACAGTGTTTTTCAACCTTCCTAATGCTGCAACCCCTTAATACAGTTCCTTATGTTGTGGTGACCACCAACCATAACATTATTTTGATTGCTACTCCACAAATGTAATTTTGCTACTGTTATGAATTGTCATGTAAATATCCGATATGCAGGATACATTTTCATTCACTAGACCAAATTTGGTACAAATACCAAATACGCCCCAATTTGAATACTGGTGGGGTTGTGTGGGGGGCGGGGGTTGACTGTGTCATTTGTGAGTTGTAGTTGCTGGGATTTATAGTTCACCTACAATCAAAGAGCATTCTGAACTCCACCAACCAAACTTGGAATTGAACCAAACTTGGCACACAAAACTCCCATGACCAAGAGAAAATACTGGAAGGAGTTGTTGGGCATTGACCTTGAGTTTTAGAGTTGTAGTTCATCTATATCCAGACTCAAACAATGGACTCAAATAATGATGAATCTAGACCAGGGGTCCTCAAACTTTTTAAACAGAGGGCCAGGTCATAGTCCCTCAAACAGTTGAAGGGCCGGATTATAATTTGAAAAAAACATGAATGAATTCCTATATGCACTGCACATATCTTATTTGTAGTGCAGAAAACACATTAAAACAATACAATAATTAAAATGAAGAACAATTTTAACAAATATAAACTTATTAGTATTTCAATGGGAAGTGTGGGCCTGCTTTTGGCTGATGAGATAGGATTGTTGTTGTTGTTGTTGTTGTGTGCTTTCAAGTCATTTCAGACTTAGGTTGACCCTGAGCGAGGGCCAGGTAAATGACCTTGGAGGGCCGTATCTGGTCCCCGGACCTTAGTTTGAGGACCCCTGATCTAGACCAAACTTGCCGTGAATACTCAGTATGTTCTTGTGGGTCTTTTCGGGCTATAGAGCCATGTTCTAGAGCCTCTAGAACATGGCTCTATGGCCCGAAAAGACCCATGAGAACCTAGTGATTCCAGCCATGAAAGCCTTCGACAATACTCAGTATGCCCAAATATGAACACTGGTGGATTTTGGCAGAAATAGATCTTGATATTTGTAGTTGCTGGTATTTATATTTCACCTCACCAATGATAGAATTGGGCCGAACTTCACACACAGAACCCCCATGACCAAAAGAAAATACTGTTTTCTGATTACCTTTCTGATAACCCCTCTGACACCCCCTTGTGACCCCCCCCAGGGGTCCTGACCCCCGGATTGAGAAATGCTGATTTATCAGATGCACAGAATGTTTTATCAATCTGGCAGATTATATATATGTATCTAAATATCTGGAAATTTGTGGCAGGTCATCAGACTCGGTCCGATTTTTTGAAATTAAGTAGAATCAGCCCTGATGAGTACTTGAATGGGAGATCACCAACAAAGAGCAGATACTGTAAGTTATTTCCCAGAGAAAGGAACCAACAAATCCACTTCTAACTCCTAATGGGGTCACAGCAAGTCAATAGGCGAGTTGAAGGCACATGTATATATTTGCATAACTTAATTAGTAAAGAAATAGTTGGATAATTTAAAACATGAGTATGATGAAAGGTCCCACAGAGGTTATTCCTTGGACTCCCAGAACCCCTCAGCTTGCTTGGTCAAGAAAAGGTCTGATAAATATTTGTCCCTATTATGCTAGAGGAGATCAACTGTCTTTATCATTTCTGCATTCCAGTTTTCTTTGATGTTACTATTTACAATCTCTCCTATAGCATGTGTACATAAATCTGCCCAACTGATGCATCAGAGGGAGTGGCCACTGTCCGTGCCAGCTGGTGCCATGCTAAGTGTCTCAATCTTACATGTGATGCAAGTAATCAAAACCTGCATGAATAGTGACTAAAGCTGACTAAAGAGATCCCAAGGAAAAATGTGGTTTTGGGTTGATGCATAACTGCAGGCTCTTGGTATTCTTTGGAGTTGGTTCTAGAAACCTTGTGGATACCAAAATCCATGGATACTCAAGTCCCATTATATATAATGACAGAATTAAAACAGTAAAGGAGCTTTTTTATTGAGTTCCAGGGTCATAGAAGCAGAAGAATGGCCTGCTTCAGGGGAGCATGCTTGCTCCCTCAATGTTTAACATTTACACAAATAATCAGCCATTGCCAGAAGGGACAGAGAGTTTCATCTGTGCTGATGATTGTGCCATCAATGCTCAAGCAGAGAGCTTTGAAATAGGTGAACAGAAGCTCTCTACTCTTACTGCCTATTACAGGGAAAAACCAGCTGATTCCTAATCCATCTAAAATGCAGATGTATGCTTTTCATTTTAAAACCAGGCAAGCACCTCGAGCTCTGAGGATTACCTGGGAAGGAATCCCACTGGACCATTGTAGCACACCCAAATACCTATTGTGTGCTCTGTGCTCTGACTTACAAGAAGCACTGCTTGACTATCAAGCAAAAGGTAGGTGCTAGAAATGATATGGTATGAAAGCTGACTGGCACAACCTGGGGATCACAACCAGATAAAGTGAAGATACCTGCCCTTGTGCTTTGTTACTCTGCTGCTGAGTATGCATGCTCAGTATGGAATACATCTCACCATGTTAAAACAGTGGATGTAGCTCTTCATGAGACATGCCACATTCTCACAGGATGTCTATGTCCAGCACTGCTGGATAAATTATACTGTTTAGCCAGTATTGCACCACCCGACATCTGCTTTTGATTTTAGAGGGGTTTTTTTAAATACTGGTAGCCAGATTTGCATGATTTCTTCCTTTCTGTTGAAATTTATTTATTTATTTATTTATTTGGAACATTATTTGAAGCAGGGGACTCAGGCCGGAGTGCAACATATATATGGCAAACATTCAATGCCGGGACATAAATCCATAAATCTATACAAACATTAAAATCACTTATATCCACTTAAAATCAGTTGCTTAAAATTGTCCACATGTTTGCGGATTTCAATGGCGTCTCTGGTAGTTGTCAGAATGTTGAGGCTGGCCAATCAGAAACCATATGCAAATTAGTAGGTTGAGATAGCTCATGCATGTGCCAATTTGGGCCCTCCAGGTGTTTTGGACTTCAACTCCCACCATTCTGAACAGCCTCAGACCCTTCCTCAGGCTGCTGAGGGGGAAAAGGACAAGGCCTGAGGCTGCTGAGGGGAAAAAGAAAAGGTCTGGAGCTGCTGAGGGAGAAAAGGAAAATGACTGAGGCTGCTGAGGGGGGAAAGAAAAAGGACTGAGGCTGCTGAGGGAGAAAAGGAAAATGACTGAGGCTGCTGAGGGGGGAAAGAAAAAGGACTGAGGCTGCTGAGAGGGGAAAGGAAAAGGACTGAGGCTGCTGAGAGGGAAAAGGAAAAGGACTAAGGCTGCTGAGGGGGGAAAGGAAAGGGCCTGACGCTGTTAGGAATGGTGGGAGTTGAAGTCCAAAACATCTGGAGGGCCCGAGTTGGCCCATGTCTGCCATGGCCCATAGCCGACCCCTTTGAGAGGCACAAGTGTGAAGTCTTCCCAAAGCAAAACAGTCACAGAAGGGAAGCCTTACTGTGGGCTTTTGGGTACTTTAGCTCTCCATCCTTTTCGGCCCAAACTTGTGGCCTTTTCCCAATTCACTCTCTGCCGGCAGAGGTCGTGCCAGCCCTTTTCGGAAGGGAAGAGCTCTAAAACGGAGCAAAGGCGGGAGGAATGGAGAGGGGGGCTCTTGACATCACTCCCAGGCTCCTCCCACACGCGACCCCCTCCTTCTCCTCAGCCTCCCGCCTTCAGTCCCCGCTTCCTTTCCTTCTCTCATCCGTAAAGCAAACATTTCCGCTGCTGGCAAGAGAGAGAGAAAGAGAGAAAGAGAGAGAGAGCCGGGGCTGGAAGAAGCGAGGATGGGCGCTGAGGTCAAGAGCGCCAGAGAGAGAGGCCGGCGGAGCAGCCAGGGCAGAGGGCAGCCTCGGCAGGACTCCCCCTTTATCCGCGCAAAGCCTCGCCTGGGCTGAATGCGAGGCCTCAGGGAGCAGGAGCCAGAGAAGCCAGGAGGGAAGAGAAGGAGAGCCTGGTTGCATTAGGAAGAGCCTTGTTTTGATTCTTCCAAGCCAGAAGCACCACGCGAGAAAGGGAGAGAAAGGGGAACTCCAGTGAACCTTCCCAGGCTTTTCCTTTCAAGCAAGCAGAAGAGAAGGAGAGGGATTGAGGGGAACTGGTTGCGAAGGTGAAAAAGAGGCGCATTCCCAGTTTATTATTACTGTTTCCAACAGGAGAAGGCGAGGAGAAGTGAAAAAGGAGAAGGCGAAGAAGGGAAGGAAGGAAGGAAGGAAGGAAAGAGCCTCTTTGCATTAGGAAGAGCCTTGTTTTGATTCTTCCAAGCCAGAAGCACCAAGCAAGAAGGGGGGGGGGGCGAGGAGAAGTGAAGGAAGAGAAGGCGAGAAGGAGAAGTGAAAGAGGGGAAGGCGAAGAGGAGAAGGAAGGAAGAGCCTCTTTGCTTTAAGAAGAGCCTTGTTTTGATTCTCAGGAGCACCAAGCAAGAAAGGGGGGGGAGAACTCCAGTGAACCTTCCCGACTTTTCCTTTAATACAAGAAGAAGAGAAGCCAGAAGGGTCACAAAAGCGGAAGGAGACGGATTTGGGGGGCAACTGGGTGATCCCGCTGGTTGTGAAGGTGAAGAAGAGGCGCCTTCCCGGCTTATTATTACCTTTGGAGAAGTGAAGGGGAAGGAAGGAAGGAAGGAGAGCCTCTCTGGATTACTCTGAGGAAGAGCTTTGTTTTGATTCTTCCAAGCCAGAAGCACCAAGGGAGAAGGGGGACTCCAATGAACCTTCCCGGCTTTTACTTTCAGGCAACAGAAGAGAAGTGAAGGCGCCCCAAAGCGGAAGGAGACGGATTTGGAGGAACTGAGTGATCACGGTGGTTGTGAAGGTGAAGAAGAGGCGCCTTCCCGGGTTTGGATTCCTGTTTCCAACAAGGCGAGGAGGAGAAGGCGAAGAAGGGAAGGAAGGAAGGAGGAGAAGGCGCACCAAAGCGAGAGGCAAATGGAAATGGACTGAGATACCCCTCAAAGCGTTCCCTTCCCGACTCTAACCCAACGAGGAGGAGAACTGAAGGCGCACCAAAGCGAAATGGATTGAGATACTGCTGAGAGGCTCCCTTTTGTTGATTCTTCTCCTTTTTCTTTCCCAGCCAGGCTGTAAGAGGAGAGGGATTGCAATGGACTGAAATGCCAGGCGGGTGGCGAAGGTGAGGAGGCGCCTGGGCTGCCTCTCTCTCTCTCTTCACGCTTTCTCCGGCGCGCGCGCACACGCGTGGGTCGGGCGCGCGCGTGCTCTCCTCTCTCCTCCTCCCCCCTCCCCCTCCCCATATGCAGCCCCGCTCTCGGGGGGCCCCTCCTGCCATGGCCGTCTCGGTGATCCAAGCCTGCCGCAGCCTGGCCCTCTCAACATGGCTGCTCTCCTTTTGTTTCGTGCATCTGCTCTGCCTGGACTTCACGGTGGCCGAGAAGGAGGAGTGGTACACGGCCTTCGTGAACATCACCTACGTGGACCCGGGAGGCGGCGGCGGCGGTGGCGCGGAGGTGCGGAGCGAGAAGACGGAGTGCGGGCGCTACGGGGACCAGTCTCCCAAGCACGACGTGTGGGGCCCCGTGGCCATGGCGGCCGTGGCCAGCGAGCGCCAGGCCTGCGACCCCAACGCCCGCTTCGCCGGCCCCGGGCCCGGCAAGGTCTGGGTGGCGCTCATCCCCAAAGGGAACTGCACCTTCAAGGAGAAGGTCCGCCACGCCGCCGCCCAGAACGCCTCCGCCGTGGTCATCTACAACGTGGGCGCCGGGAACGCCAACGAGACCACCACCATGCCCCCCGCCGGTGAGTCAGCCAGCGAGGGGAGGGCACGGGGAAAGGGAGGCAGGCAGGGAGAGAGAGAGGGGGGAGCAGGCTCTTGCCAAGGCACTTCTGGGGGCAGGGAACTCAGGCCAGCTGCAGGTGGGACCCCTTGGAAAGGGGCACCAATCACTTCTGCAATTTCCTCCCACTTAGGCAGGGGGGGAAATGAAATTCAAATATCCAAAAGTGGAAAGATCTTGGAGTCCTCGTGGACAAAATGTTAAACATCAGCCAACAATGTCATGGATTTTGGCCCGCACAAATAGGAGTCTAGTGTCCAGATCCAAGTCAAGCTACCCGTCTGTTCTGCCTTGCTCGGATCACATCTGGAATACTGGGTCCAATTCTGGGCACCGCAATTGAAGGGAGATGTTGAAGGCCTCCTGCCTTCCTGTTGCCTGTGTGCCCCTGGAAAGGGGAGAGAGAGGAGCAGGCTCTTGCAAAGGCACTTCTGGGTGCAGGGAAGTCATGCCAGCTGCATGTGGGACCTCTGAGAAAGGGACATCAGGACTTCTGCAAGATACTCCACTTAGGCAGGAAAAAAATTGAAATGCAAATATCCAAAACTGGGGAGATCTTGGAGTCCTTGTGGACAACATGTTAAACATGAGCCAACAATGTCATGCGGCAGCTAAAAAACCCAATAGGATTTTGGCCCACACAAATAGGAGTCTAGTGTCCAGATCCAGGGAAGTCATGCTACCCTTCTGTTCTGCCTTGCTCAGATCACATCTGGAATACTGTGTCCAATTCTGCGCACCGCAATTGAAGGGTGATGTTGAAGCCCTCCTGCCTGCCTGCTGCTTTTGTGCCCCTGGAAAGGGAAGGAGGGAGAGGAGCAGGTTCTTGCAAAGGGACTTCTGAGTGCAGGAAAGTCAGGCCAGCTGCAGGTGGGACCCCTTGGAAAGGGACATCATCACTTCTGCAAGATACTCCACTTAGGCAGGGAAAAAAAATGAAATGCAAATATCCAAAACTGGGGAGATCTTGGAGTCCTTGTGGACAACTTGTTAAACAAGAGCCATGTCATGCGGCAGCTAAAAAAGCCAATGGGATTTTGGCCTCCATAAAATAATCATAATCATAATAAAGACTCTGGCACAAGGCGGTAAAGGTGCTCCCAGTGGTGATCGGCACACTGGGTGCAGTTCCTAAAGACCTTGGCCTGCACTTAAGCACAATCGGTGCTAACAAAATTACCATCTGCCAGCTGCAAAAGGCCAACCTTACTGGGATCTGCACACATTGTTTGCCAATACATCACACAGTCCTAGACACTTGGGAAGTGTCCAATACAACAGCCAGCAAAGTAATCTTGTTTGCTGTGGACTCATCTTGTTGTGTTTCAAGTAATAATAGTAATAATAAAACTTTATTATACACTGCCACTGTCTCCCGGAAGGGACTCAGGGTGGCTAACATGAGGCCAAGCCCAAGCATTTACAATAAGGCAATATAAAATGTGTACAAAACAGACAATGATATGAACAATAACATAATAATGCAATGAAATAGTGACAATAACATCATAAAAAGTATGAAATGATAGAAGAATTAAGGGCAAGCGAGGCCAGATACAAAGGGTAAAAATGGTAAAACCTGTGGGTGAGATCGATAGTTAGACAGATAGATAGAATACTATCTATCTGTAGGAGTCTAGTGACTAGATCCAGTGAAGTCATGTACCCCTCTATTTTGCCTTGGTCAGACTACACCTGGAATACTGTGTCCATTTCTGGAGATGTTGAAGGCCTCCTGCCTGTCTTCTGCCTTTGTGCCTCTGGAAAGGGGAGAGAGAGGAGCAGGCTCTTGCGAAGGCACTTCTGGGTGCAGGGAAGTCAGGCCAGCTGCAGGTAGGACACCCGAGAAAGGGACATGAGAGAGGCAGGGTGACATGATCACTTCTTTCTTGATGTGGGAAGAGAAGGCATAGGCACCAGGAAGGGACTAAACACCACCTGATATGGAGAAGTGTCCAGAATGTGTGAAAAAGATCTTGAAGTCCTCGTGGACAAGTTAAACATGAGCCAACAATGTCATGCGGCAGCTTTAAAAAGCCAATGGGATTTTGGCCTGCATAAATGGAGGTCTTTTGTCTAGATCAGGCATGGGCAAACCCAGGCTCAGGGCCCGGATGTGGCCCCTTGAGCTCTTTTCTCAGGTCCTCCTCTCTCACCATCCTATCCTTCTCTCTTTCCTTCCTCCTTCCCTCGCTCTTTCCTGGAAATAATCTTTCGCAGGACCTTCCACCCTTTCTTCCTTCCTTCTTTCCTTCTTTCCTCCCTCTCTCCTTCCCTTCCTCCCTTCCAGCCCTTTTATTCCTTCTCTTTTGCCTTTCTTCCCTCCTTCCCTTTCTCCCTCTTTATCCTCCCATCCTTTCTTCCCACCCTTTCACCCTTCCTTCTTTTTCCTTCCTCCTTCTTTTCCTTCCTTTCCTTTCAGCCTTCTTTCCTTCCCTCTTTCCGCCCTCCCTCCCTCCCCTCTTTGTGCTTCCATCCTTCCCTTCCTCCCTTTCGTACTTCCTTTTCTCTTTTCTTCCTCCTTCCCTTCCTCTTTTCCATTATCAGGCAGCCAGTCCTCCTAGCAGGGAGTGCTAGCATGTGGCCCACAAGTTAGAAAGTTTGACCATGCCTGGTCTAGATCCAGGGAAGTCATGCTACCTTGGTCAATTCTGCCTTGGTCAAACCACACCTGGAATCACACTGTGTCCAATTCTGGACACCACAATTGAAGGGAGAGGTTGACAATCTAGAATATGTCCAGAGGAGGGCAACTAAAATGATCAATGGTCTGGAGAACAAACCCTATGAGGAGTAGCTTAAAGAGCTGGGCATGTTTAGCTTGCAGAAGAGAAAGCTGAGAGGGGACATGATGAGGGCCATGTATAAATATGTGAGGGGAAGTCATAAGGAGGAGGGAGTAGACTTGTTTTCTGCTGTCCTGGAGACTAGGATGCAGAAGAGTGGCTTCAAACTACAGGAAAGGAAATTGCACCTGAACATTAGCAAGAACTTCCTGACTGTGAAAGCTGTTCAGTAGTGGAACTCTCTACCCGGAGTGTGGTGGAGGCACCTTCTTTGGAGACTTTTAAACAGAGGCTGGATGGCCATCTGTCGGGTGTGCTTTGAATGCAATTTTCCTGCTTCTTGGTGGGGGGATTGGTCTGGATAGCCCATGAGGTCTCTTCCAACTCTATGATTCTGTGATTCTTCCTTGCTATGGGAAGAGAAGGCATAAGGACTAAACACCCCCTTATGTGGAGAAGTATCAAGAATCAGAGTTGATTTGTGGGGCAGAAGTCTTGGAGGAGCAGCCATGCATCCTGACATTCTGTTTCATCTGCAATTGTTCAATGTCATATCAGATGTGTCCCTTCCTTTCAGTGGTCCCATCACATTCAGTGCAAGGTTGGTTTTGTCCTTTAGTAAGAAGCATGAACATCCAAATCAGGCATGGGCAAACTTCATATCTCAAGGTTTTTTGGACTTCACCTCTCACAATTCCTAACAGCCAGGAGACTGCAAGACACATCAATGCTAATCTAGGTGGCCAATTGCAACATTCACACTTGCCCCAAGCAGACAAGAGTTCTTTCTCCCACCCTGGACATTCCACAGATATATAAATCTCACTTGCCTAATTTCCAACAGACCGCACCACCTCTGAGGATGCCTGCCATAGATGTGGGTGAAACATCAGGAGAGAATGCTTCTGGAACATGGCCATACAGCCTGGAAAACTCACAGCAACCTAGCGAAGTAGGCTGTTAGGAATGATGGGAGTTGAAGTCCAAAACACCTAGAGAGCCAAAGTTTGCCCATGCCTGATCCAAATGATTTCATATCTTGTCCTTTAATAATAATCAAGGCAGGAGCATTCAGAGGGTTTCATTTTTTGTTCTCTATTAATAATAGAAGCAGGAACTTCCAGAAGGTTTCATCTCTCCTGGCTTCTGGCTCTCCAACTGTCCTTGGGCCACAGTCCTTGTCATCCTTGGTCATTGTCTATGCTGGCTGGGACTAAGGAAAGTTACAGTCCAACAATACCATATTCCCTGTTCTTCCCTGTGGACTTCTTTTCCATCATTGAAGTATTCCTCCCCATTCACATGCTCCTGTATTATAGCAGTGTTTCTTTTAATAATAATGGAACAGGAACATTCAGAGGATTTCATACCTTGTCCTTTAATAATAATGAAAGCAAGAACATTCAGAGGGATTCATCTCCAGAAGCAACTTGCAGTTTCTGAAGTCACTCCTGACACGAAAAAAAAAATATCTTGACCTTTAACAATAATGGAAGCAGGAACATTCAGAGGGTTGCTGTGAGTTTTCTGGGCTGTATGGTCATGTTTCAGAAGCATTCTCTCCTGACATTTCAACCACATCTATGGCAGGCATCCTCAGAGGTTGTGAGGTCTGTTGGAAACTAGGCAAATTGGGTTTATATATCTGTGGAATGTCCAGGGTGGGAGAAAGAACTCTTGCCTGCTTGAGGCCAGTGTGAATGTTGCAATTGGGCACATTGATTAGCATTTAATAGCCTTGCAGCCTCAAAGCCTGACTGGTTGCTGCTTGGGGAATCCTTTGTTGGGAGATATTAGCTGGCCCAGATTAATTCTTGTCTGGAATTCCCCTGCTTTTTGAGTGTTGCTCTTTATTTACTGTCCTTATTTTATATATATATTTAAAAAAACTGGTAGCCAGATTTTGTTCATTTTCATGGCTTATTTATTATTATTTCAGACATTTATATTCTGTCCTTCTCACCCCCGGAGGAGGACTCAGGGCGGCTTACAAGCAGCCACCATTAGGTGCCAATAACAAAAATAAAAGCACAGTTAAACATTAATTAAAACATCATCATAAATTAAAAAGACAATTTAAAAGAAGGAAATCCAAGTCCAGAGTCATAATCCAAAATCCATCCATTGTCAGTCCCATGATTAATTTATAATTGTTACTGCTGCGACTTCGAAAGCT